GCTGAACCGGTCATGCTGTAGGATGTTGCAGGCAGCAGATCAATTTCCACCATTTCTCCAGACTCCGTCACGTCTATCATATTTGCTCAATGTGAACCTGCTTTCATCCATAAAGAGTACAAGGCGCCTTTGGCAGATTTGCCAATCCTGCTGTTTTCTAGCAAATGCCAGCCATCGTGCACAGTGTTGGGCTTAGAGCACAACCCCCATCTGTGGATGTGGGGCCCTCATATCATCCTCATTGAGTCGGTTTCTAACCGTTTTTGCAGACACATGCACATTTGTGGTCTGCTGGAGGTCATTTTGCAGGGCTCTGGCAGTGCTTCTACCGTTACTCCTTGCACAAAAGCAGAGGTAGCGGCCTGCTTCTTCATTGTTTCCCTCCTACAGGCTCCTCCGTGTTTCCTGGTAGTGCCTTCAGCCTCTAGACACAAACCTTCTTGCCACAGCTCACATTGATGTGGCATCCTGGATGAGCTGCCCTACCTGAGCCACTTGTGTGGGCTGTAGAGTCTTTCTCATGTTGCCACGAGCATGAAAGAACCGCCAACATTCAAAAGTGACCAAGAAAGCATAGGTACTGAGAAGTAGTCTGTGGTCCCCACCTACAGAACCAATCCTTTATTGGGTGTGTCTTGCTAACTGTCAATAATTTCCACCTGTTTTCTATTGCATTTGCACAACAGCCTGTGGAGTACATTGACAACCAGTGTTGGTTCCTAATTGGACAGTTTTATTTAATTGAAGTTATATTGTTTGGTGAATGAGTTCTGTTTATTCTTTTGAGCAGTCTTTATTATTTATCGATCCACACACACAGGCATTTATGAATATTTACGGAATAAAACTTTAGCCTCTCCTGTCTAGACGTCCCTTAGATGGCATCCTATTTAAGCTTTTGCTAACAGTCTGGTCCATAGATATTAACCGGTAGTAATGTTCTGCTCCCATAAAAGTAGATAATCTCCCCTTAGTGGTCGGGGGCTCTTCTAGTTTTCAGCTTTTCTCTAATCACAGTTGGTTTTGCTGCTTACAGCATTTCTCTTTTGCATGTGTATTAATCTAATTTTAGAATTTGCTGTGGAGTCGTGTATTCTCATAGCATATGCAGGATAAAATATGTTTCAGAAACAAACTTATTTAATAGCACCTATTTTTTTAAATGGAAAACCTAAATATTGCATAGTATCATGTAAAAATGCTTATTATAAAGTTTCATGTCATTATAAAGATTAACTTGGTCCATCTTCTGAAAAACTTTGCAGGGTTTCCAGGGGTCATTAAAAATTATTAAGCCATTAAATTATTATTTTTTAAATTAAGGCCTTAATTGGCATTAAAATTCATTAAATGCGACTATCATGGCCTTTAAAATGCTTTATTTAAAAAATCTAAATGTTTATAGAAACAATTTCGTCACATATATCATGATATATTTGCGCGGAACTGCTTCCGGTTGATCATAAAGCCGAACGTTTGGAAAAGAAGCTTGAGGCGGAGAAAAAGCAGGAGAATTGGGGGAAAATGCAAATTTCAACAAAAGTGTCTGGAAAACAAGGAGTATTGGGACATGCTGCAGCCTGTCGACGGCAAAGATGAAGGATTTTGCCGTGTTATATAAATATATTTATGAGAGTCATGGGTACTTGTTGATGGCATTAAAATGATTTTTAATAGCATTAAAATAGCATTAAATTACGCTTACTCATTCCTGTATAAACCCTGTTTTGTTTTATTGGTCAATAACACAAATTAAACCTGCTTGTAAGGTTTTGATCATAAATTGCAGTAGATTTTCTACACACCCCTGCTAAAAGGCCAGGATTTTGTGTTGGAGAAGAACATAAAAGCAGAGAGACCACCTTTCATGATACCTAAAAGATGTCTGTTTGTTTATATGAGTTATAAAACTCAACCGAATAATTAATCTTACAACTTAAAAAAAACAGTGTCACTGAGCATGCTTAGGTTTGCTCACTCCTATTGGTGTGATCAAGACTTTCCCTTATTCTAAAAGTGAAAGTCTTTAAGATTCCTTAGAGACAGAGTAATAGTGAAATCAGTAGTTATTTTCTGACATTGCGGTTCTTGTATATTGTGCACACTGAAGTATATTCTTTATTCTCTCAGGTGTCATTCTTCCATTCATCAGCCCCTACACCAAATACACAGCAATGATGAATTCCGTCGTGCCATACAACTACCCAGGTAAACTCCCCTGGTTCACTTGTCATTTCACTAAGGCTGTTTCTAAGATTTGTGGAGCAGACTCCTGGGATCTGAATATCAACCAATGAGGTGTCTGTTTCTAAATTATTCCTTTGCAGTTCCTGTGAGGGATGATGGAAATATGCCCGATGTTCCTTCGCATCCATGTGAACCTAAAGGAAGAAGCTTGGAATGGCTTAAAAAGTTATAATACAGGTCAAAGGCCTGTAGTTCCTCTCGTTTGTGCGTCTCTTCAGTTTGCCCAGTTGTAATTGTCTTGCAGTAAAGATTATATTTAATCCTACTGTTGTCAGAATGATTTATTCTGTGTTTGAGAGTTTGGTGGGACTACTTCAAGGCATTTTAAGTGAGTTTTGTTACTCAATTGTCTGTATAATTGGAATTTACTTTGATTTTATATGCAGATTGTCTTTTGTTTATCTGTAATTAGCTTATTACAACCTGAGTAGATCAACTCATTGAGTATTTAAAGATTCTAATGGATAAATACATTTTAAAGAATAAAAAAAAACTGATTATTCTTGGAACAGTTTTCCTTATGTATTTTAAGACTAGACCTACAGTTACTCAACTGGTTCAGTTTAGAAAAGGGCTAAAATACTTTTTTTTTTTTTGTTAAGATCTGTGTAATGAAGGAATTACTTGTCAGAGTATGTTGCTTAAAATGCTATAAATCTAGAAAGCCTTAGTTTGGCCTGTTGCTAGGTACACTGGAAAGTGCTTTATGATGGTGCTGGATTGGAAACCACCTTTAGCACTGTTTTATAACTCACAGTAAATGGAGTTTACTGATCAGATGCCCAAAATATCTAGAAAACAGTTTTGAATCTAATTATTGACACACTGACCATCTAGTCTTATATCTCTGTATTTAGTGTAGAAATATATTTCAGTAACGAGTTATAATTAAATATTGGCTATTTAATGATTCTTTTTTGTAATTATATTTTAGAAATTGACAAAGGACACCATGCTGGAAACAGAAAATCAAACAGTAGGGGATTTTAGCATACATTTTAGGATCCTTTCAGACAGACTGTGGGTAAATTTATAAATACATATAAATTTAGAATAGAATTCCACTTTATTGTCATTAAACCTTCACAAGTACAAAGCAATGAAATGTAGTTTACACCTATCCAGAATTGCTATAAATGGTATATATTAACAGAGAGTCAGTGTAAGCGGCTATAAAATAAATAAATATGGAAGCTATATACATATTATACAGAAAAGGGTCGGATATTCATTATATATATATATATATATATATATATATATACATGACTGTTAGGTTAATAGGCATCTCTAAATAATCCTTAGGTGTGAGTGTGTGCATAGTCTCATGTCTCTGAGTTGCCCTGCGACAGACTGGCAACCCATCTACAGTAGGTTGCACCCCACCTCTCGCCCTAAGACTGCTGGAAATAAGCACCAGCCCCACCACGACCCTGACGGAATAAGTGGGAGAAAATGGATGAAAGGAAAGTGCCTAGCAAATTTGTGAAATTTCTAGAAAAGCCAGTATGTTTTTAGAAAGTAAATTCTGTGTTTTGGGAGAGTACATTCCTTGACATCTTTTTAAAAACAGTTGTGTAAAGCACCAAGACTTCTAACATTAATTACAGTAAGTACAGGCTGCATTATGTAGTTCTAACACATTTTAACAATATTTACAAGTTCACACAAGCTGCAAATAATTTTCAAGATTCATTTTTTGCTGTTAAAAACCATTTAAGTGCTACATGTTAAATCTTTACGATGCTCTAAAAAGATCACAGGGACTGAATGCAGAGAAGAACAATCATTTCAATTGGCACAAAGCAAGTTTTTATTCTCAAACATCCTGAAATAAGGCATCTTAAGATCATCACCAACACTTCCTTAGACATAAGTCAACTTCCTGTATGCTTTCTCCTTCACTTTCATTAGAAACACTTCCACACCGAGTTCACTCATGTCTTCCTACATGCCTTTCACATCACTCTTTAAGATCCGGCTCAGTCTGACTCGTAGACTCGCATCTAGATGGTGGAGACCTTTGAATTTAGGTCTAAAAGAAATCAAGACAGAAAATCCTCAGACTACGCATGTAATCTGCTTATTTTTATATATATATATATATATTTATATATATATTTAGCCTTTCTCATCTTTTCATCTTTCTAAATAAAAATGAACTTTGCATTCTAACACTACTTTCCTGACCTTCACCTTTTAAACTTCACAGTATGCGACTTTTTAAATACTAAAGTGAAGCCACATTGTTGTAATCAAACATAATATAGAAACAGTTTGTGTTGTTTGTATCCTGATTTAAGTTCACAAGTTAAGGTAATCTGAATGCCTTCACTAACCAGAATAAACATAAAACGTTACAGCAGCAAAACTGGTAAAACATTTTAGGTATTGTGCATTTAGTCACTTCCTATGCATTGTTATCAAAATAAACAGAAATATATAACTCATTTTCTAGATTTCAATTCAAGATCCCCTGTACTTGATCTAAACAATTAGCTTTTATATAATTAAACAGTATGAATGCATTTAAAAGCATCTTTTGCTAAAATACAACACATGTGGATCTTTTTCTGAAAAAAATAAAAATACAGAAGGAGCCTGTCCTCATCCCAATAATTCCTCCTCAGTTAAAGTGTACAACATTTTGTTATAGGATCCAGTCCATATTTTAGCAGATCTGAAACTATTTTCTATATATGGCACAACATAAAAAGAAACCAGGGGAAGTAAAAGGCATCCTTTACATCCAACTAGAACAGCTTAGTCACTTTTTTGAGGTGAAAGATGCAGTATGGTGCTTTTTGAAACATGAGGAAACCATCAAACTTAGTTTATAATAGGCACATTTCTTTCATAGTGGTTTTTCAGTTATTACGGTTACATCAAAATTGAAGAATTTCTTGCTAAAATATGTTTTTTTCACATTGAGCATAAACATGTACATGATTAAAGAAACAATAAAATAGATATGAGTTAATCATAGTTTGTAAACACAGTGTGCAGTTTCCAGGACTCAACCTGAGGCTTGAAGAACTGATTACAGATCACTGAAAGCTGCTGTGCTCACTCGATTATGGGAGCCGAGCGATCGTTGGTGACGGTTTTTCTCAGTCTGATGTGGGCAAACGGATTGGGCCTGCAATGAGATGGATATCAACACTCATTTAGCTGAAGTAAAGTCATACAAGGTTTGATGGAGGGAACTCATAGAACACTAACTGACATGTTTGGATGACAGAGACAGCTTCATTCAGTCAGCAGAGCTGGTTTTTTTTTATGTGGGCCATATTTTCAGTTTCCCTAACAATAAAGGGATGGGCACCAACAATAATTTAAAAAAAGACCCTGTTTATCCACCACTTTTGCCCTCAACACGTTTCTGTTGCTATATGCATGTCCTGTCCCCATATAGGATGATCTGCAATTTCTTTTGTAATGTCTTCTTTTTCTTTACCTATGTTGGCTATAGGTGTTACATTTAGATATCCTGAGTCATTTTCTTCACAAGCTGTGACCGTTCCTGTGGATATTTGTGTATATTTATAGGTTATAAATAACAGTTTGTTCCTAATGTTTTCAACTAACTCTCTAACTGTAGGTTTGTAAATGGTTCCTAGTGTTTCTTTAAAGTATCGTAGGATTGGAGGTAGGTATTTTAGTTATCAGGCTCTTCTCTTATGGAATCAGCTACCTGTTTCAATTCATGAGGCAGACAGCCTTTCTACTTTTAGGACTAGACTTAAAACTTTACTTTTTCATAAAGTGAGTTGGAGTTGCTCAGGATATCCTGAGCTTTGCCATAGATATGCTGCTATAGCCTTAGGCTGCTGGAGGACATAGGGGGCACTTTTCACCATTCTGCATTATTATATGTCTATTCTCCATTTCAGCAGTATTTGTTAGTTCTCCCAATACCTGTATGTGCTCTCTTGAATCCATTTTACATGAAAACTGGATTAGAGCTCTTCTACTTAACTATTTCTTACATTGGCAGAACCATCTGTGGAGTTAGTTTAGTGTTATCTTTTCTAACATAGAAATTATTTATAGATCAGTGCTTGTGTGTTCCTCTTCTATGTCTACTTTCTCTCCTTGAACCCCCAGTCAGCGTCAGCAGAACCCTGCTCACACTGAGCCGGATTTTGCCTAAGGTTTCTTCCTGTTAAAAGGAAGTTTTTTTTCTTCTCCAATGTCACTACATGTATACTTGTGGAAGGGATTGCTGTAGAATCAACGACACAATGCAAGCGAAAAACTACTGTTGCCACATAGTCATCCAGGAGGAGCAAATCCTTCAAGTCAATGACTCGATGCAATCAGCTGGTTTTCCTTAGATAGAAAACTTTCAACCACTCGGACTGTATGATCAGACTGAATTTCCTTTATAAAATGCCATAAGATAACATTTTGTGAATTGGCAATGCATAAATAAACAAAATTGTGTTTAATTGTATGGTCCATGGTGTCATTGATGCTAAATCTACCATCAGCTATAAGCGTATTTGCTTTTGTTTAAACATAGGACTGGGGAGAATTGTCATCTTCAATCAGTACAAAAACTCAAAACACAGTCAGACATCTATTCAAATAACTCTTGTCAAATGGTAAATATGTGTTAGAATGGCCCAACCAAAAGTCCACATCCACTATAGATTCTGTTGCTAAAAAAAGAAAAAAGGTGTCCATAAATAATGCATGCCCAAAGTTAGTCCTGGAGGGCCGCTGTCCTGCAGGTTTTAGAGGTTGCCCTGCTCCAGCAAAACGTATGCTGAGCTGCAATCATCAGAATCAGCTGACCAAATCTGTCACTAGATGTGCAACGCTTATAGGGACCTACCACAAAAGACTTTCAACCATTCTGGTAAGAAAAGTGGAACTACAAATTATCAGCCCAGTTCCTTACCTTCATTTCTAACCATTGACTCTCTCACTCAGAATCATTCTTAGATTTATACAAGTTTAGCATGTTACACTAGCTGTGTAGCATTTAATTACTGGTGGAATTTTATTTAAAATATTTAGTAAGAGTTGCTTCAAAAATTACCTGGTGGGTGATGGTGGTGAGACACTTAAATCAGACGTGATCTGCAAACCACAGTTAAGTCATTAGTCGTCTAAAAGGTAAATCACTACATAACATCAAATTGTTTGAAATTGGAAAGCGTCTCACCTTGTTGCTGTCGGCCATGCTGTAGGGCCGTGGACGGAAGGTGCTGACCCTCTGAGGAGGAAGGGAACGCTCCTCCTCGGACTCAGGGGTGAGAGCGGGGAGACCTGCAGACACTAGTTTGTCAAGTTGTCCTGTGCTAGTGCTGTTAGCCTTAGACAAAAAGAGGGAGCTGCGGAGAAAGGTGATATAGAGAAGACAAAAAGACCAGAGGAATCACAATGAAACCGGAACGGTGCTAATGTCGAGTGAAATCATCAACAAACCTGCTGCTTTTGGAAATTAGATAAACTTGTTTAAAAAAAGGAAGGAAAGGTAACTGAACCAATTCTATGTTGTAACATGTTTTTCTGTGCTTATATAAAATAAAAGGGAGTTTTTGCTCTCCACTGTCACTTCAAGCATGCTTAGTGTGGGGGATTGCCTTGACTTATTCAATGAGTCGATGCAATCAACTGGTTTTCCTTAGATAGAAAACTTTGAATCAATTTGACTGTATGATCTGGTTGAACTGTAAAGTGCCTTGAGATGACATGTGCTGTGAATTGGCGCTATATAAATAAACTGAACTGAATTAACACATATCAAAGATCTACAAAATATGGCAACAAAGTGAATATAGAAACAAGTTAACAGGGGTAAAAAAAAACGAAGTTGTCATTGATTATGCTGCTGAGAAAATCTTTGTTTTCTGTCACCGTACCCCTCCAGATGGTCCATTCTGCTGTGTTGTGGTTGGGTGTAGGAGAAAGGGAACCACCCTTTCCTGAAAAAACAAGGTCACATTTTAGGCAGCCAGAAAATCCGGTAAGCAGAGTTATTTATTTTTTTTTATAAACATGTAAGCAAGGTGACACCACTCACCACTTCTTTTGCTTAAGTTAAAGTAAAATCGACATAGAATGGTCCTAAACTCCACTAGTTCAGCTGAATGTACAAACTATTTCAGTGTGTAGAGTTTTGACATGTAATAATCTTTATTTATCAATCTAATAGTAGGATCTGAACAACTAATAGTTTTTTTTGTTAAAACAGTAGAACATCATACCGTCCAGTGCGTTCGTTCTGACCATAGTGCCACCCGTCTCTGGGCTCAGAGATCAGCAGGGTGATGTTGTCCCCGGGCAGGAAGTGAAGTAAGCAAGCCCCGCCTCCTAAATTTCCACCTGCACCTTCAGATGATCCAGGTGTATGGGCGAACAGGGCTTCCACATGGGTTACTCCAGATAATGGAAGCACTCTGGGAAGACTGGAACCTGTGATAAAGATCAAGGCAGAAAAATAAGAAAGAAGGTTTGGGGGATCAAACAAACACACAGCAAAGCAAAACAAGCTCTTACCCTGAAAGCCTCCTGATCTCATTTCACTCACAGGTCTCCTTGGAAGGGGAAGAGTTGCAGTAGCAGATACATCCCCGGCCTTTAGTAGCCAGGGACTGTATGATGGAGACAGAGTGTGGCTTCCTCCTGATCCAACTTGCTGGTGCAGCAGCTGCACCGGCGTCATAGCCCTGGAGAGAGGTGCGCTATGGGACAGCGGAGGACTATGGGGAGCGCTATGGAGAATAGGGAGGGTCATGCCCTGAGAAGAATTACTGTTCTTGGAGATCTGACTGAGTGACATAACCGTTGAAGGGATGAGGCTTGGGGAGAGGTTAGACGTGTTAGTGACCATTAGGAGAGAGCTCTGCTGGGGGGAGGCGCTGGACATGGTGGAGTTGGATAATCCAGGGCTTCCATCTGGAAGAGGGATCGCTGAGGGACTGAGGGGTGTGCTGGTATGCTGAGGAGAAGCCCTACGGGACGAGTCTCCAGCAACTCCACCACTGGAGCAGGAAGAGAGAAAAGTCTGAGGAGAGCCCTGAGGAGGACCAGTGTCACTGTGGGAGGAGGAAGAGGAGGGGAGCGACCGCTGTTGCTGCTGGGAGCGGCTTGAGTCTCCGTTCAGCAGAGGAGGGACCTCTTGGATGGAAAGCCTCTGAAAAACCCAACAACAATATATAAAAAAAACCATCCATCCATCCATCCAATTTCTGACACGCTTAATCCCAAGTGGGGTCGCCAGTCCATCGCAGGGCTGTAGTTGGAGAGTTCATGCATTTTAAATAATGTTGAGATCAAAATGTGTGGAGATGTGTTTTTTCAGATCATTTTCCTGTTGGTTCATCCAGTCAGAATCCAGAAAGCAACAAGGCAAAGGCCACCAAAACCACTGAAAAACCAGCATCACTGTCCTCAAAGCTCATGCTATAAAACTGAAACATTTGAGCTATACTGAAATTTAGAGCGACCCACATGAACAACCTATACACTTACTGGGGAAAACACCTTTGACAGGGAGAGTACACAGAAACAAAGAAAGAAATTGGAGGATTCGGGGTGGAGCATTTATAATCTAAACAAACTGTTTAGCAAGGCGGTGGAAGTATCATGCTTTGGAGCTGTTACCCTGACAGAGTTACTGATGTATTGCAGAAAGTGGATGGAAAATAAGGAGGAAGATTGATATCCAAACTTTCATTTTTACCTTTGTGCAACAATTGAATTATTTTCCAAGAGGAAAAAAAATGATAAAAGCAAATGAAAGTTAATTAATTTTCTAATTTCTAACCTCGGGTTAATAAACAGAAAATAATTAAATATATTAGGCCATATGTATAATTTGTTTATTTCAAAATCATCCTGAAAAAAAAACATTGTTCAGATGCAGGGTGAGAGTATAGAAACTTCTCATCATAACTGTATTTTCTTGAATATTTTTATATTGTATTTTCAAGAACATTTTTCTTGAATTTAGCGAGTGACTAAATTAGAATGACTGTCCTAGAGATTATAGTAACTTTATTAGTCAGAGACTTTAAGAAAATGAAACTTTAATATGTAAATAGGTTATGACCATATGAACATATTACAGATTATCCCTTCTATGAACTTAGACTTAGAAAACATTTATTGTCATTTTGTATACACAGAGAGTATACAATGCTAAATTTTGTTTTGTATAGCTCTGATGACATTTCCATTTCTTTAAAGTGCAGCAGTGATCAGATGTAAACATTTTGGGAGAAAAAACATGGTGCAATAAATGCATTGATATGGTTTGATGCAGAGTCTGTGACATGATTTAGATCATTTTAAAAGAAGACTTTGAAACGGTTGAGTTAGTCGTCAGTGTTGACTACAAGCACATTTCATTGGTACTAATATTTAAGTACGGTTAACTGCTGTGTCAATAAGAGATGAAGTGAGATCTGACCTGTTCCGGCTGGGCAGTGCCCAGCTTGGTGTGACGGAGGACCTCTGCTATCCCAGCAGCCCCTGGGCTTTGTGGCGTGGTATGACGCAGCAGATTGAGGGCACGCTCTGGGAGCTTCGTAGGCTGAGAACAAGACTGCTGCCAGGTTGATAGTTTCTGTGACAGAAGCTCCCTCACCTGGATCATGTTGGAAAACAGCATTTTGAAGTCAAACGCTTAATTTTGGTAAAATAAATAACCATTTGAAAATTAAATTAAATGTTTTCAGCTGTTACTTGTTTAAAATAACAAAAACTAGTTGGTGAGTGTGCAGAGAATCAAAGGTCACCTTGGAGTGGTAGTTGATGAGCAGCTTGGTGACACAGCACTGTCTGTCCACCAGGAAGCAGTATCTCCTCCTCTCCTCTGTGAGTGCAGACTTGTAGCCTGTAGCCACCAGCACATCCAGCTCACCTTGTCTGCGACTCATCAGCTCCACAAACTAAAGGAAAAATCCCAAAAAGTCACCTTAAGCCTCAAAAGGATTTGTGAATTGAATCCGAAATATCCTGATTGGCTCTCTTCAGTTCCGGGTAACTGCTTTGGGCCCCATTTGGGCTGCGAATGACACTCTACCTGCATCTCTCTGTCTCCATATTTGTTTGGGTGACGGCTGCCCTGGCTCTTTCTGCGGAGTTTCTTCAGCTGGGACTGACAACGCTCAATCGACTCGGACCGAGACCTTCGCTCACTCTGATACTTCTTCAGAGTGGCCTGAAAATGAAAGAGCAAAACAAAGCATGTGTTTACATTTATTTTGTATTTTATTTCTTTTATAGCACTAGTGGCTCATTTTTTTGACAGTAGCCTGACACGGAAGGGGGTTTGAGAGAGAGGGAGAGACATGCAGGAAAGGAATACAGGCCAGATTTTAACCCAGGTCACCCATGTCAAGGACTAAGACCTCCGTACATGCGTTGTGTGTGCTAACCACTGCGCCACTTGCACACCCTTGTATTTTATTTTTTCAGCATTTCAGCACTAGCCCCCCCTAGTGGTTTGAGTCCACTAAAAGCAGGAGAGGCATTGGTGCGTATCTTCAGTTGTGACCGGGTGCGACACATCACAGAGACATTGGACTCCCATCCTAAGTCTAGATTATATTTAAAAAGACTAATTGACCAACCAGCCATGTTAGTATACTGTGGAGGAAGCCAAAGTCTTCTGATTGAACCAATACTTGTATGGGGAGAACATGCAGACAAGATTTAAACCAAGGGCCTTGACGCAAAGTAACAGTATTATCCACTGCAACACCATATGACTTTCTCTGAATCTTCAGGATGCTTTTTTTTAGGCTCTAGTGGCCGTTATTTGGTGTGTTTTTTTTTTTTTAAGTAGGCAGACAGGATCTAGGATTGGAGACACGGAAGACATGTGGCAAAGGTCACCAGGTCAGGAATTGAACGTGTGACAGCAACATGGAGGAATGAAGCCTCTGTAAATGGGTTGTGTGCTTAAGCCCTGCACCACCATCATGCCCTAGACTACATTCACGTACACTGCCATGTTTCTTTTGATAAATTAGTTAATTCTGACCGCTAATTAGCTCCAACGACCAGATATGCAAAATGGATTAGCATTAAAATTCTGGATGCTTCTCCTTTCTTCTCACGTAACACTGTGACTCAGCCTTTGAGACCTCTGGGGTTTTGGTTACCACTTTGGCCAAAGCTGTCTTTCCAGAGTACTGGTCAGGAAGTGGCAATTGTCCCTGTTGCTCTAAGCTTCTTCCATGTCTGATTAATTGAGATCTACTTTTTTTGCTTGTTTTACGTTTTATCTAGGACTAGGTGCCCAGATTTCCCTCTCCCCAGACTCCCCTTCCAGCTCCTAAGAGGGAAGCATGAGGCGTTCCAAGGCAAGCTGAATGAAATAGTCCCCCCAGTGTACCGTGGACTGCTTCGCTGAGACTTCTACTGTCTACATGCCTGGAACACCTCCAGAGAAAGAGATATGAGCCACATCAGCTAAGCCCTCTCTATGTGGAGGAGCAGTGGCTCTACTAAGAGCCCCTCCTGGATGGGCTATTTAATGCTCATAAACAGATGAACCCACTCAGAGGTCTAGATGGCTTTATCACTTGTTTTCTACTCCAATAAGCACTGTGAATCTTATAGACAAGTGTTGTCCTTTCCAAATCATGCAAAGTCAGGTAAATCATCAGAGGCTCGTCACAATCAAGCTGCAGGAGCTTCCTCAGATGCACTCAGAAGAAATTGATCCTAATTTTGTGTGCAGAGAATGTAAATACTGACATACCTCTTAAATGTTTATATACATATATTTGTATAGCTATACAACAATGTTTTTATATATGAAAAATAGAATTAGATTTTTAGGTTTTAGGATAAGTCTTTAACCTAAAAATAAAAAAACTGAATATTTGCACAAAGTAATGAAAGACAACATAAATCAGTTTACTTGTCCAATGTGGTTTGTTCCATTATTTTTAAAGCGTGTCATAATAGACTGGATCTACTGTAGATATGAAAGCTCCATACTCTACCAATTTAATTACACAAAACTGCTCATTTTGGTCTTATTTCTGAGGAGATTCAGAAATATGAGAACATGTAGTTCTACAGTTCGAAACTGATCACTCCTCCATTAAACAACAGTTGTTTTTACTCTGTTAGCTTTAACATTAAGAGAAAATTCCTGTACTCAAAAAAAGTTAATAAATCAGAATAAGCATGCTTGTCGCACTGGTATCATATTCGTTTGTGGTTATATTGCTAAATCGACAAAAATAAAACATTTGAACTCACAGTGAGGTATTTAATGTCCAACTCCAGCTTCTGCTCCAACTGGGCTAGCATCTCAGAGTGAAACAGCTTTAACTGTTGAAGTAAAACAACACTTTAACCAGTCTGCTAAACCAGTGAAATAGATGCCTTGGTGATAGTTTAACATATTGACACATTAAAACTTTATTTCCTTCACATTTAATGGTGTTTAGTAAGATGTAAACTATAAAATGGGTGTAAATTGACTGAAACCAGCAGGTAGATGAAAGTCTCACCACGTCTTCCAGCTGCACCTGTATCTGCCTGTGCACCTCAGCCATCTGGAACAGCGTGTCCCCTGAGAGCAGCACAGTAAGAAACATAGTCAATTTTACCAATTATCTAGAGAGAGAAAATGGAAAAATCATCTTATGCAGCTGTCCAATTATACCCATAAATAAGATCCAAACATTGTAGTAAATTGGGGCTTTTGTCTCCATCGGTTTAACTCAACTGTTATTGTAAACAAACATAATTATTCTTCAATTCAGTTTAGTTATATTTTTATTTTTATTTTGCCTATCTCGTTATTACACCCACTCTTAAATGTAATCACATTTATTTTGATCTTTGTATTTCTATGTTTAGAGGTTGCTATTTAAATATCATATATTTTTTTCATAAAATATTTTAGATTAATTTCAGTACACCTGATGAATTTTTCCTCTTCACTAGTCTGTTTTGGATTTGTTCCTCCTTTCTGTGTGAGGTGGCTAAGTTCAATGAGAATGATTTGTTCTGCAAGTAGGACTTGAAATTAGCTAAAAAACAGTTTAAGGAACTCCACACCAGCACTTTTCAAAACTAACCCAATGGGCCAGTTAAGAAGTCCTTAATGTTGTTACCACGACACAGTTTTTGATGAACAAAGTGTCAGTCAGTGCAAGTCCCTCCCTCGGTCACACGGCGCTGTAGTATGTGGTAGCTGGCAGCTCGCCCTCCGACGCTCCTGCCTGCCTCCCCCGCCATTTCCATTATTACAATGAGATCATGTGGTGTTGTTAATCTCTCAACAATGGCCCTACTCTGTCCTTTTCTCCTCTGTTTCCCCATCCACTCCTTTCTCCATCTCCATGCTCACAAACACATGCAGTACCCAAACTGTTCTTCACTACTTCAACCATAAAAAAAAAAGAAAGTTTAAAAGCAGTTTGGTTCTTGAGCTGCAAACTCACCCAACTCTTTGGAGCCCTGGCTATCACTAGCTAACTCTCCAAGTTTCACTAGTGCATCAAAGTAGCCCTTAGCAGCCACCGTCACTCCTGCAGAGGAGAATAAATGTCAGTTTATAAAAGCTAAATAATGTTGACAGATTTCAGTAAATGAACTAACCTGTCAGAGCTTTCTCATAGTGTTTTCCCATGGTGACAAAGTTCTTCAGACTGGGGTTGAACTGGTCCAGAATGCCCTGTTTACACATATTGCACAGAAAAAAAGATACATTCCTAAAGCATAGGTTAACTTTGGAAGTGATGTTCTGGCAGAAGGTTCTAGGAATATAAAGCTCAAGGTGTCATAATTCAGTAAATCCATGATGTTGCTGTTAGATAGTCAGAGCTGGGCTGAGACTGACGTGGGCTGTTTCCATATTAACACAATTCTCACCTCAAAAATGTTTTTGGATTTAAATAAATGGGGTTCATTTGGTCTTCACCCTTTAGCTTTACCCTCTGGGACCAACCAATCCATGTGGGGCTTGAAAATGTTGTAGCTAGTACTATATAATCTAAAAGCTACCGTCCTGCAACTTTAGAGACTAATTTCCTAAATTTACCAGTAGCTTCTTAAAAATTCTATTGGACATGCTTGATATTGGGCATTTATTCAACTTTCTAAGTTCATACTATTTATTTTGATAGAACTCAGCGGGTGTGTTGGTGAGACGTAATGGTCACTCTTCTGAATGGAAAAGGTATTTTAATAAAAAATTTAAGGAAATTGCTGCATACTTTCTCAGAACTTGTCAAGAAAAATAAATAAATAAACGAAAACAAAAGTTCACTTCCTAAGACCAAACCCAGAGGGTTATTGGGAAATAATCCTCAGGGTCCATGGAAGTTTCAGAGAAGCACCAGTTAAGTTTTGGGAATTAAAAAAAACAGTTCTGGAAAATAAACAGTAAGTAGCCTCTAAGTTGTATAAAAGCAGATGCTCTATTATGCGTTGCATCTATCTATCTATCTATCTATCTATCTATCTATCTATCTATCTATCTATCTATCTATCTATCTATCTATCTATCTATCTATCTATCTATCTATCTATCTATCTATCTATCTATCTATCTATCTATCTATCTATCTATCTATCTATCTATCTATCTATCTATCTATCTATCTATCTATCTATCTATCTATCTATCTATCTATCTATCTATCTATCTATCTATCTATCTATCTATCTATCTATCTATCTATCAAACCAAATATAAAAGGTAATGTGGTTTTACCTTGTAGACATTTTCTGTCATCTTGTTGATCTCTTCGGTTCGGGACATGTTTGCTTCTTTCACACACCTGCAGCTGCTGTTAAGGACTTTTTTTCCTCCTTTTCCTCGGTTGTTTGGCTGCTTAAGCTTTTTACAGAACTCCCCAATCCTCTGAAAGAGAAGAGATGAACCCGGTTCAGAGGAAGACACACATCTGGCTTATGTCTATAGAGCCTTCCTTGAATAACACTTGGAAACTTCTCAGATGAACCTAATGTGTTTCTAAATGTTCTATTTTTTTTTTCTTTTTAAGGAGGTATTTAAATGGGAGGGCCACTGTTTAAACGGTCAAAACAAGTGACAAGCAGTGTCTTGGGTTTCATCCGAGGGGAATTTTATTTTCACACAGAGGCCATCTCTGTTTTTCTGGATTATCACTTTACAACCCAAATATTGCTCCAAGATTTTTGTGCCATTCAAGTTAAGATGAGAACAATGGGTTCCTCCTGTCTGAGTCACAGGTGTCAGAGCGCTGAATAAACAGGGCGACATCTTCGTTTCCTCTGCAGTCAGGGGGAATAAGCCGCCCCGAAGGGTCAGAGGATTTCCAGTTTGGACTGAATGACAAAAAGGCTCACCCAGTTTTCCCTGCATACCCCTCCTTTGTAATCACGGCAAGATTACAGAAAAAATGTTGACCCAGATCAACTAATGCTACAAGACACAAAGAAAACATTTCCAGGGTCTTGGTCATTAGGGCCACTCTGGTGAAATCTGTCATTTTTCACTAGGAAGAAAGAAGACGGAGAGAATGAAGCTTTTATTATTAAACTCTCCATTTAAAAAAGTTTACAGGACATCATGTGGGGATATTCTAGCTTCACTGGGGTTAACTCTGAGAAATAAAGTGTTTCTTGTTCCATGATCCAAGAAAAAAAAGGTCTGCAGGTGGTTTGGAAGTGATACAGAAAGAGCATTCATGTGATTTTTCTTTAAAAAGAAAAAAACAGCTTGATTTAAATGCATGTTTATCAGTTAAGACATAGTGCTGTTAGATTAATTTACTTCATTCATTTTCTGATTCAGATGTACATACAAATCCAATAGCTATAACAGGAATCCAGAAGAAGCTATTTTAATGCAAAGAAACTATGCACATTTTGTAACTAATTTGGAGATTCTGCAGCAATGGTTTCCCTTTCTTTTGCACCACTCTGTCAGAGATACATTCATTTACATTTTGCACCCCCAGTGTTCGTTTAATTAATAAAGCAAAACAGCCGGCTGCTCTTAAATCTATCATTTGTCCTTTGGCTGCATGCATGCACCTAAAACCAAAAAAATTAAGATATTTGCATCTTAGAGGCTAAAGGTAACTTTTCAAACAAATGTTCTACTCTTTCTAATGTTACAGCTTAGTAAAGAAAAAGCTGATCTGCAGATCAGAGCTCAGGTTGTGTAACAGTAACAAATAACTGAGCTGCATTTAAAAAAACAACAAAAAAAGCAAAAAGAGGAAGAAGTTACATACCTTTTCTGGGCTCTTTGTATGAAATGATAAAAGCTTGCAGCATGTCTTTTAAGGGTTTAATGAACTATAACTCCCCTTCTTTTCTTTCTATTAGACTACTTTCTCTCTCGGTCAGTTAGTGGGGGGTTGTTTCATCCAACGTAGCACTAAATCTCACCTCCCCTCCACCTCCCTTTTTCACATGGACTTCTCCCTTCCTTTCCCCCCCTCTTTCTGCCTCTTTTTACTCCCAGGAATTGGGTTCAGATATTAGTGCCATTCAGTACCTTTTGCTCATTACTGAGCCGATTACCAACATGCCTTCACAAATGCCAAGGGAAAAAAAAATGACCAGAGAGCAGCAACCAAAGCCTGAACCAGTAGAACTAGAAACCCAGCAGTTGGATGCCCCAGTCAACCTCCCATTCTCTGGGTCTCCCTGTCTCACTCGGGCAGAATAACAATGAGCCAACGGGGCTTCATCTGAATAGCAGCAGGAGGAGAATAATGACTTGAACTTTTTAAGCCAAAGACAGAGGGAGAGCAGCACAGCCGAGCCTATCACTGGCCTACATACACAAAGCCCATCACACATTCCTGCTTCATACTCTGAGAGGAGGAGGAGGCCCTATGGACACAGCCTGGCCTTTCATTTACAGTCATACACAGTCAGACATTAGAGACAAATTTATTTATGACACATACAGAGTTGAGTTCAAAATCAAGACAAAATAAATGGAGCAAGCTGAATTCTACCCAAAGTTAAGTTAATTTTGTTCAGTCACATTTGTCTAAATAAAAACAGCCTGGTTGTATATGTGTCTATATCTATACACTATTTCTAGGGCTTTGGATTTAGATTTATTCATCTTCTTTGAAATGAGTCTGCAATCCCATATCTTAACTAGATAATATTGTATTTCCCCTTAAGCTCACAAATGTTTTCTGTGTCTAACAGACAGTGAATAGCACTTCTGTGGTGAACCCTTGAATTAAATGTCTTGAATATGTCAGGTTTAGGACTCTAACCAGAGTCCAAAGATCTTTTTGCTTTGATTCTTCATGGTAAAAAAAAAATGGCGGCTCTTCTTTTACAGCTCTATAGCAGACAAAGTAAGATTTAGTGTTTCACATTTACAATTTCGAACCAATTAGATTTTCACCTTACTTAACAAAAACCCATTATCTATCTAAAAACAGCAAGCCTCCAAGCATAATGCTGCCACCACCATACCTCAAAGTATACATTGTGTTCCCTTGGTGATGCTCAGGAATCCTGAAAGTGACAGATTTAGTTGTGGTTCACAGATTTTTTTTAAACTTTATGTTAAACAATCATTGATGATGCAAGATTTAATACTTATAACTGAATACTATAATCAAGCACATTTACAATCAGTGGTGAAAGTTAGCTCCTGAAAGACTCAAAAGCCCAATTGTTATGCCTGGAAATATTAGAGCAAATATTGAACTTGTTGATTTATTAAATCTCAACCCAGCAGTGAAAAGGAATACTGTTTTCCAAAAAAAAAACCTGAAAGTTTTACAAGTTTATATAACTTTTCACAGTAATAATAAAAGCTGGAACCTTGGAAACGAAAGAGATTTTATTTCTTTATGAAGGTGGATTTTCACACGTTTGCCGAGAATCTCTGCTTCTGTCTCCTTGAACCCCAGTCGGCCTCGGCAGATGGCCGCTCACAGTGAGCCTGGTTCTGCTGGAGGTTTCTTCCTGTTAAAAGGGAGTTTTTCCTCTCCACTGTCACTACAAGCATGCTTAGTGTGACGGATTGCATTTGAGTCAATGAGTCGATACAATCAACTGGTTTTCCTTAGATAGAAAACTTTGAATCAATTTGACTGTATGATCTGGTGAACTGTAAAGTGCCTTGAGATGATATGTGTCGTGAATTGGCGCAATCTAAATAAACTGAATTGAATTGAATCTGATCAGGAGGATTTGAAGTTTAACTTTTTAAAAGTAATGCTGTGATGTTTGTAAAGAGGATATCAGATCATATCAGAGGGACTTTTTTCCACAAAGTAAGGGATATTAAATCCTTTACTATTTGTAATATTTTTTGCTGCTTGTTAGTCAACATTGAAGCTCAACACAAACTATAATAGCAGGGAAAAGCTGTATTTCTTTTTTTTTTTTTGGGGGGGGGGGGGGTAATTGTGGATATATATTATTTTAAACCTGACACATCTGCATACAATGTATCTACTGTCTGTAAAATGTCCCAGAATGCAAATATCTTATAAATTCTTTTACATATTTTTATTTTTCCATCTAACTTGGATTGTTTAACTTTTGTTTTTCATTTGACAAAACATCAAACCTCTTATGAGATTTCAATCATTTCATAATAAAGTAAAGTTAAAATTAAAGTAAAGTAGAAACTCACTAAAGTAGTGAGATGAAAGATTTTTGCAGACCGTGTGTGCAGTTACAGATTGTTCCCAGAAGGTGGCGATAGTAAAACATCTCTCTCTGACATACCATTCCTTTGTAAAGTCAGCGTGTATTTAAAAAGGTCTAGTTTTTTAATGCCCAAAAAGATAAAAAAAAAAATAATAATAAAAAGAGAAAAGGAAGTAAAAAAAAAAAAATCTAGTAGATAAATATATGCTCTAAATGTACTGAGATTTTGTTAAGAAAGCCAAAATGTTGGTTTAACATGAACAGTGTGTCACCTAAAATGTTTTTAGATATTTTATTTTACACACAAAAATGCAAAGAACCTTTCTCAAAATATAAAGAGATAACTGTAGCCCCAAGAATTCCTATGTTTGCATTGACTTGACATAGAAAGCCTTTTAAAACTAGGGCTGCAAATAATGATTATTTTTGCTAATCAATGAAGCTTTTCGGATTAATATTTGGAAAAGGTTCCGTAATAAGATTTTTTACGAAATTATACCAGGTGAAACTAAAGCTTTTCTTTTACTTGAGGCGTTCGGGATTGTAGCATCCAGTGCAATTAGAAAAGGCCAGAACTGGTGGTTGAAAGGTTTATTTGAGCCATCCGTGCCTCCAACCAACGTAAGAGCTACAAAAATAAACAATTTACAATTACAATTTAATACACCATGCTTAGCTCATTACATTGGTAACTTTTCTGTATTAAACATTTTCTAATTAACACAAACCTTGTTCCTCAATTGACTGATGCTTTAAACTTTACAATTATATGACTTTCCGTGGTCCTTTCATCAGTTTCTCTTCCAACGTTTTCTTGCTAACTTCCGGTTTTACGGACCGTTGTGTGTTAAGCTAACTTCCGGTTTTACGGACCCCTTTCAAAATAAAAGCATAGTCCTCTAATGTAATCATCAAAAAAAAAAAAAATAAATTTTTTTTTTTTTTTTTTTAACCATACTCTTCTACCGTTACACTCCCACCAAATTATTTGCTGATAAAACATATAAAACACAAATAATTTCCTCAAATTACGGAACAAAACAAAACAAAAAAAAACAATCACCTTATAAACAACTGTCAACTTTCAACATTTCCTGACACTTTTAGAATAGTACATTTACTTTTCACAGTTTTCTAACAGCAGAACTAACTTATGTACTGGGCGTTCTACTACAGACATTTTGTTCACACGCTGACCCTCGTTGGTAAGATCTCTGTCTGCAAAGGCGATTTTGACCTTTCTGACAAGTCCATCTGTGTCCTTTACAGTGTCCAGGATTCTTCCAAGTTTCCACTGAGATCGCGGTTGTGTTTCATCTTTGTCCATTACTATGTCTCCTATTTGCATGTTCCTTTTTGGCGTGTGCCATCTTTGTCGGATCGTAATATTCTGTAAGTATTCCCTTTTCCATCTGCTCCAAAACTGCTCAACTAAGTACTGTACTTGGCGCCATCGCTTTTTTGCATACAAGTCCTCCTTAACAAACTGTCCAGGAGGAGGCAAAGCAGTGGAGGTTTTCATTGTCACAAGATGATTTGGAGTAAGCGGCTCCAAACTGTTTGGATCATTGAGATTGTCTGTCGTTAAAGGGCGGCTGTTTACTATTGCAGCTGCTTCGTACAGGAAGGTTCTGAGTGAAGAATCTGTGAGACGCCCTGTAGTAAGAGCCAATGTTGCCTTGAGAATGTTTCTCACAGTCCGTATTTGTCGTTCCCATACTCCACCTGCGTGACTAGCATGAGGTGTGTTTAGGACAAAATCACACTGTTTCTCAGCAAGGAAGGATGTCAGTTTATCAGTGTCTATTTCATTTTGTGCTGCGTTCAGTTCGTTTTTGGCACCTACAAAATTAGTACCCTGATCACATTTTATTTGTCTGACAGAGCCTCTTTAAGCAATAAAGCATCTGAATCCATTTATAAATGCATCTGTTGACAAGTCCTCTAACATTTCAACATGGACTGCGCGTGAGTAAAAGCATGTGAAAAGGAGGCCATACCTTTTGTACTCCTTTCGTGCTTGTTTGGTCAGAAACGGGCCAAAAACGTCCATACCACAGTATGTGAAAGGTGGAGAGGGCTCAATTCTTTCTGGAGGGAGATCTCTCATTTTTTGTCCTTCCACAGGTCTCCTTTGTCTCCGACAAAACACACACTGGCGAATGTAGGATGCAACTGTTTGGCTTAATTTTGGAATCCAATAGCCATTGGATCGGATCTCATTCATTGTGAAGCCCTTTCCCTGATGATTGACCTTTGCATGACAGTGGGCAATTATCAGTTTTGCTATGTGATGTTCTCTGGGAATTATTGTTGGATGTTTGAGTGAGTGGGGAAGAGATGAGTGCCGTAGCCTTCCTCCCACCTTGAGCACATTGTCCTTGTCCAAGAAAACGTCCAAGTTGTTCATTTTGTTGTTCTTTGATAGTTGTTTGTCTTTGCTTAATGCTTCTATTTCATTTTGATATGCTTGTCTTTGTAAATCTTTGATAATCACCATTTCCGCACTTTGTCTTTCGGTTACAGTAGTGAGTGTCTTTGATTTGTCTTTGAGTAGGAAACGTCTGAGACGTGGTACTGCACTTACAGCACGGGACCAGGATGAGAACTTTAAGAGGCGATCACTAAGGCTTGTATGTTCAACTGTTTGTGTACTTAGTGTTTGCACCTTTCTCACTTCTGGGTCTCCGACTGGAAGTTCGATAGTCTCTTCACTTGGAAGATGTATCTCCTTTTCCCACAGGAACTGAGGGCCTGTGAGCCAGTTGGAAGAAAGCAGTTCATTTATTGTTGTGCCCCTGGATGCCAAGTCTGCTGGGTTTTCACTGGTAGGCACATAAAACCATTGTTGTGGAGTGGTAGTGTTGCGTATTTTCTGCACTCTATTAGCAACAAACGTGTGAAAGCGTCTCGCTTCGTTATTTATGTATCCTAGGGTGACCTTTGAGTCTGTCCAAAAGAACTCCTCGACACTGTCATAGAGCAGTTCCTCTTTTAGCATGTTGCTTACAGCGACTGACACGGCTGCCGCAGTAAGTTCTAACCTTGGTATTGTGGTGACCTTTGTGGGTGAGACCCTTGCTTTGCCCATGATGAAGGTACAGTGAACATCTTTGTTTTTGTTTATGAGTCTGAAATAAGAACATTGTCCATATCCTGTATTACTTGCATCAGAAAAGTGATGTATTTCTCTTTTCACAACATCTCCGAAATCTGCAGGGACATAACACCTGCTTATTTGCATGTTTTTCAGATTGTTCAGATCTCCTTTCCAGCACTCCCACAGTGGCATAAGGTGTTCAGATAGCGGGTCGTCCCAGTCCATTCCTTGACGACACATCTCTTGGAGAATTCCTTTTCCTTTGAGCACATATGGAGCTATAAATCCAAGAGGGTCATATATTGCTGCGACCGTGGATAAGATGCCACGCCTGGTTGGTGGTTGATCCTTCAGTGTGATGTTGAATGTAAAGCAGTCTTTCTCCACATTCCAATAAATGCCGAGTGCCCTTTCTGTTTGTGTTTCATTAAATGTTAAGTCCTTTGCTTTAGTATCCGTTGCATGCTCTGAACTTGGAATACTGTTAAGAACATCAGTATTGTTCGAGACAAACTTGTGCAACCTTAATCCACCCTTTTCACATAGTTCACGTGCCTCCTTTGCCATTTTTATAGCACCTTGAACAGTCTCTACGCTGGTGACTCCATCATCTACGTAGAAATCTCTGGCTATGAACTGCGAGCCTACAGGATATGCAAGGCTGTTCTCTTTGGCTAAACATTTTAGTCCATAGTTTGCACAGCCAGGTGATGAGACGGCACCAAAGAGGTGTACTGTCATCCTGTATGCTTGTGGTTGACTGTTTATGTCTCCATCCTTCCACCATAAGAAGCGCAAGTAGTTGCGATCATTTTCTTTGACTTGGAACTGGTGAAACATTTTTTCAATGTCGCACATGAGAGCTACTTGATGCTTTCTGAAGCGCACAAGAACACCAGTTAGATTGTTGATCATGTCGGGACCGTTAAGTAAATGTTCGTTTAGACATGTACCTTTGTGCTTTGCAGAACAGTCAAAAACAACGCGCAACTTTTCAGGCTTCTTTGGATGATAGATGCCGTGGTGCGGTATGTACCATGTCTCACCGGGTGGTCCATAATCATCAGTCTCTTCAGCATCACCTCTTGTGATGATGTCACTCATGTATTTAATGTAATCTTCTTTGTATTTTTCATCCTTCATGAGTTTGCGTTTGAGGTGGTTGAGTCTGTTTTCAGTGAGTTGTCTGTTATCTGGCATTTTTGGCCTTTCTTTAAACGGTAATGGCATTTCGTAATGTCCATTTTCAGTTAGTGTTATGCCTTGCTCAAGTTTGTGGAGGAATACTAAATCCTCTTGTGAGACAGTCTTTTCATTTCTATCAGTCTCTTTGAAATCTCTTTCCAGTGCACGTATTGCATCTGCTGGAGTGGAGGGCGGGATTTCCTTAATGGTGACTCGATGACAGAGACTGCTCGTCATGTCTGTTTCATTGCACGGTGCTGAGTTGCCGACTATGCTCCATCCTAAATCTGTATAAATGGCATAGGGCTCGTTATCTTTGCCTAAGATTACTTGTTTGGGTGCGAGAGCTCTAGGACAAGTATAACCTATGAGAAGACTTACTTCACAGCTTAGGAGTGGAGGAACCTCATCTACAATAGGCAGCAAATGACTCCACTTTTTGGCCGTGTCACATGTTGGAATGTGCTCTCTGTTTGCAGGTATGTAGTCCCTAGTGTATGCAGTGGGGAGCTTTATGACTGTGTCTGAGTCATAACCTCTTACTATGAGATCGGACACCCTTTCACTGATTACAACTGCATTTTTATCCATCATGGTAGTTAGTTTCAGCTTTACTGGACAAACATTTGCTTGTAATTCATGTGCAACATCCTGATCAATGAAGACAGTGTCACTCTGTGTGTCTAATAACGCATAGACCAGTTTTTCTTTGTCCGGATTGTTAGCCGTCGACAGCCACACTGGAACAATCATCGAAGTGCTGATTGTCTGGTCAGATCTGGCAACATTAAGTGATGTGGCTGTTGCTGTTTCAGCCTGGTGCCTGTGAGAGGCATTGTCTGTACTCACTCGTGTTTCTCTTTGTCGACTGTTACTATAGTTATCATCGTGAAGACAGGTTGGGTGTCTCTTTGAGCAGGTTTCGCAAGTGTGGCGGCGTCTGCAGTCCTTAGCACTGTGTCCTTGCTTTAAGCAGCCGTAACAAAGTTTATTATCTTTCACATGTTTCTTTCTATTTTCTAGAGACATCTTCAAGAAGTCTGGGCACTTTTGGAGCTGGTGTGCACCCTGGCACAACATGCATGGAGAGCCATTAGCTGTTTTTGTTGTTGTCTGTTTGTCACTTTGTTCAATTGTGTTTGTGTTTAATACACTTGCCTTGTTCCTTTTGATGTCCTTTGTGTTTCTTTTATCGCTGTTTGTTTCAGTGTAGTGGAGTGCATGAATGGAGGTGACTGGGTTACAAGCGACTTCTGCTTCTAAGGAGAGGAAGGAGGCAAAATCACTGAAGCTTGGAAACTCACCACCTTCCATTAATGTCTTTGTAACTTGTCTGTTCCATCTGGCATTTATCCAGTCTGGTAGCTTGTGCAACAGTTTTTGATTTTCTTCGCAGTCGTCAAGTATTTGTAGGCCTTTTACGTGTGGCATCGCGAGCATGCATGCATTTATGAAATCTGCGAATGTCCTTAGTCCTTCAGCATCTCTGGGCTGCACTTTTGGCCAGTTAGATAACTTTTCTCTAAAGGCCTTCTGTATTACAAATGGCTGGCCGTATCTTCGGTTTAGTTTGTCCCAAGCATCCTTATATGCTTCTTCATCGTTTCTAAAGAAAGTTCCTTCAAGACATTTGCGGGCTGGGCCAGTCACATATCGTTTCAGGTAGTACAGTTTATCTGCTGCTGAGATGCTCTTTTGTTCAATGAGTGATGTAAATGTGGATTTCCATTCAATAAAGCTTATTGGTTCACCACTAAACACTGTTGGTTCTGGTGTGGGAAGTTTGTTCATTTTTATGCTGTCTTGAACTGCTTGTGCTAGTTGACTAACACTAGAGGGTGCTATTTGCTCTGGCATGAAGGAGAGTGTTGGTATGATCTGTTGGGGTGTGAAGCTTTGGCTCACCTGTTCACCTTTTATTGACTGCGCATCACTTATACGTGCTAACTCTCTGTCATATGCTTCAAACCTGGCTCGAGCTACTTTCACTTCCTTCTGCGCCTTTAAACGTTCCATCTCAGATGTTTGAGCTGCCATTTGTTTTTTGTGCTCCTCCTCTAGAGCTCTTATTTTTTCTCGTTGTCTTTGCTCCTCTTTTTCAATCTCAAACTCAGCCATTTTAGCTGCTAGTTCTGCCGCTGCATCGGCTCTTTTTGCAGTAAGGTGTGAAGCTGAGGACTGTTGGCTGTGATTTGATGCTGCGGTTGACCCGTATATGGACAAGGCGTAGTCATGCTCTAAAACTCCACGTAAGCGAATTCTTTCACGCTCTGCATCAAAATCTCCATCAACACCACTTATTCTTTCCAGAATTATTTTTACCATGTCATGAGTTACTGCATCACAAGCATCGGTCCTTCTCCTTATGTCAGATGATGGTGCCATTTGGTTTCTTATTTCAGAGTAGAGCTTTAGGACATCATCTCTCTTTTGTTCTATCAAGTCTGCAAGTTCAGCCATCTCCTTTTCTGTGATATCTGACTTTAAGCTTTCTCTTGTTTCGCGAACTTGCATTTTCCATTTTTCATACAAATGTATTAGTCTCTTTTCCTTTTTAATTATTTCTTCCTTTTGACATGTCATCATCTTCTCAGTTTGAACTTTAACTCTTTCTGAACGTCTTGGTAAATCTGACATGCTTTGACCTTTATCTTGCAACTCACTTAACATTTGTTCTTTGCATTTGATTGAATCTTTAATGTCTTGTCTGTCCTCACCTTCATTTTGAAATGAGTGCTTTAAATCTTGAATTTCTTGTTGTAAACTCGAGATTTGTTCATTTATGTCTGTTTGACTTACTGTTGCTGCCTGTAAACTTTTCATTTCGAGCTGTTTTCTTTGATCCATTTATTTTCTGACCAACTTCTGCCATCTGCTGGACGTTGTGGGTACTGCCGGACTGCAGTTGACACCTTGAGACCACATTGTGCAGCTGTGGCGGCGGTCAAGCTCTTACTGTAGCATCCAGTGCAATTAGAAAAGGCCAGAACTAGTGGTTGAAAGGTTTATTTGAGCCATCCGTGCCTCCAACCAACGTAAGAGCTACAAAAATAAACAATTTACAATTACAATTTAATACACCATGCTTAGCTCATTACATTGGTAACTTTTCTGTATTAAACATTTTCTAATTAACACAAACCTTGTTCCTCAATTGACTGATGCTTTAAACTTTACATTTATATGACTTTCCGTGGTCCTTTAATCAGTTTCTCTTCCAACGTTTTCTTGCTAACTTCCGGTTTTACGGACCGTTGTGTGTTAAGCTAACTTCCGGTTTTACGGACCCCTTTCAAAATAAAAGCACAGTCCTCTAATGTAATCATCAAAAAAAAAAAAAAATAAATTTTTTTTTTTTTTTTTTAACCATACTCTTCTACCGTTACAGGGATAGTGTGTATTGACAGATAAAAGTTTTTTTAAAATCTTAAATGTAAAATGTTTACTTATTCTTTTACAATTTTGGTATAATTGCTGCTCTAAGTGGGTTGTTCTGTCAGCTAAAGGCACGTTTGAGAGTCTCTGCACTCCAGTTAACTAAATTAGTAGACAATTATTTCAATAGTTGATTAATCACGGTTAATCTGTTTAATCTGATTAATTGTTTTAGCTCTAATTAAAACATTTACATGGGAAAAGATAGAGAGAATACATGCCTCTGCTTTTTTCAATATAAAATACATTTTTTGGTTTATAATTCCTGAATTGTAACTTAGCCAAAATCATAAGCAATATTAATTGACAAAGTTATAAGGCTGATCAAAATTATGTTTCATTTCTGACTGTAGCTCACTCAGATCCTTATAACATGTGTTTCTACAGTATGACATATGAATAACAGAGACCTCTTCATTTGAGGTCATGTTACGTTTAACAGGAGATATTGTTTTTTCACTCCAACCCTTTAGTTGGCTGTAATAGGCTTAAAGTGGGGCTGCTGCCATACAGAAGGGAGCCGGATATTGCTGCTAGAGCACAGATCCATCCATGCGTGTGAGCTAGAATTAAGTAGAGGAGTACAATACAGTTTATATTGGTACCGATCCAATACCAAGCAACTATGATGCAAGCTTCTCTGATATTTATATTTTACATGTTTAAATTTAGTATCACATCCCAATTCTGGCCTTTATATATTTTTGTGCTATTTTATGTTTGTTTGTTTGCTTTTTTGTCAGGGATTTGGGAAAGGGTTTATAGGTAACTACTTTAACATAATATTGATTTGATAAACAAAGACAATAAAAAAAAAAAAAAAACTTTATTGTATTTTTTTCTTGAATAAAAAAGTGACAATATAATTTGAGAGCAAATTAAAATAAAAAATTTCTTTTAAGCACAGTGCTGATAAGCTACAATACAAAATTTAAAAAAAGTAGCTATTTCTTGATATTTGTTAAGTTAAAAACATGTAAAAAAAAACAAAAAACAAATATATATATATATATATATATATATATATATATATATATATATATATATATATATATATATATATATATATATATATATAAACACAAAAACACAATAAACATAAATGTAAAAGTTTGGAAAATAATCCTCAGACACTGTGCTTTGTTGCCCTTTTGGCAAAACAGAACCAGTACAATAGAATGAATCCAGTCCTGGTACCAACTCTGTATGGATATTATCAGTATATTGGATTGATCTGCACACCAATAAAGGAAGCAGCTTTCCATTAACAGTAGTCCTCTGACATAATCTCTGGACTAGAGACCAAAAAGGCAGAGAAAACAATAACAGACTATTTTTTAGCTGCACTATGCACCTATGTTCAACTCATTCTATTATATCAATAAAAAAGCTTAAAATTCTTGGTTTTATTAGATTATAGAAAGATGTTTATTTTAAGGAATATGTGTTGCTGGTGGTTAGCGCAGAGGATAGATTGAAAAAAACAAATATTTAGATCTTTAGTAAAATCTCAGAGCCCATATTTGTAGATATATTTATAAAAAAAATCCTTTTATTTAGGTTGGAAGCAGATATCTACACAGGAGAGTGAAACGTTTTACCATACTGAGGATTTGATTCTGCTCTGATCTCCAGACACCAGTTTGGCGTCTGTTTCCACAGACAGAGCAAATTTGGGTTTTCTCAGCAGCACTGGGTCACTAGGCCAGACATCTTTGGGAACATTTGAGGTTTTGTGGTCTGGTGTCCTTACATCCAAGCTGTTCATGTGCTTTGACTTCCTCTGAGCCTAATTTACACACACTAAGGAGATTGACAGACAGGAGAACCCGCTGCACACGCACTGACCTAATAAACAATAAAGAAACTTAGACGTTCTCAGCACCCCATCCGGGCCTAACTCATAAATACACTCATTTAAACACTAAACAGGGTGGAATACGTTAGTTTTTCTTATTTAATCTAAAGCTATACATTGGAACATGTTTGGAATATGTATATATATATCTATATATATATATATATATCTATATATATATATATATCTATATATATATATATATACGGTATATATATATATATATATATATATATCTATATATATATATATATACATATATATATATATATATATATATATATATATATATATATATATATATATATATATATATATATATATATATATATATATATATATATATATATATATATATATATATACGGTATATATATATATATATATATATATATATATATATATATACGGTATATATATATATATATATATACGGTATATATATATATATATATATATATAGATATAGACATATAGATATATATATAGATATATAGAGATCGATATATATGCATATGTATAACTAAATCCAAGTAAAGTGATAGTGACGTGCAAAAATAGTGAACAAATGTCAATTACAGAGGGGGGGTGTCTACTTGCTAAAATTATGAATTAGAAAATACTGTCTGAAATACAGCCAAATGTTTCCAAAGTTTTTCTATTTTAAAGTAGGCAAAAAAAGTATCTTTCCAAAGTATGTAGTACTTTATATCATATATGTAACACAGTATGCACTTTTTTACATATATGATTTAAAGATTTAAAGGAAAACAAAACTTCCTGCAATAGAGCATAAGAATGTTTTTCGGACAAATTAGTGGGAAAATGTTCCTTATCTTATAAATTAGTCAAAATAATACCTATTGATTATTTCTAAATGTTGTATATAAAGTAGTTTTCACCTGTCTTGTAGACAGATTATAATCTCAATGGACAGACACAAACAAGTATCTTTTGTCTGTCAGAACAATTTTTAATAAAATCAACAAAAAGAAAAAATCAATATGAAGGAAAAATGGGTTCTCTTGTTTTTCCAATTATCAGTCTAATTTAGAATCCCAAACCAACACGTCTCCTCCTGTCTGTATTTAAGTCTGACTTACAATCATCATGTTTGTTTGTAATTTTCTTCAACCCTGAAGCAGCCATCTGCTGAGCTCTCTGGGCTGCCAGTCAAAGAGGAATTAATCAGGCCACTTCCTCCCATGCTGAGATGTAGGTGAGCTGGCTGTGTGACGAGAGCGTCAGGAGCTGAGGTCCAACATTTGGATGCTGTTTAAAGGGATTTGGAAACTGCAAATCAAATTAAAAAGCCACGTTTGTCAGAGCTGCAGATTTGATTAGGCCCTCATCCCTGATGTGTGTAGAAAAGATTAGACAGTGGAAAGACAGGGTGAGGTAACAGGTAACAAGGTGTGGCTTGTAAAAGAAAGCAATAACAAAGGACAATAAGGAAGAGGAGGAGGAGAGGAAAACCAGAGGAGAGAGACAATGAAAGAGAGGGAATGAGCTGAGCCCTCTGAAGTAAATCTCTCTCAATCTGATCAGCGTATAAGGAGGTGGACAAACCATTCAACAAGTGAAGATAAACAAGCACCGAGGTAAGAACTCTTCTCTTCAACAATAAAACACAGACTTTCCTGCAACTAAAGATAAACATGTGGTGTAAGAGATTGATTTATTTGCATTTTATTATTACAGTAAAATAATTTAGCTAAATTACACTAAAGAACTTTTGTTGTTTTTAAAATCCTCTGGACAACTCAGCTTTTCTGCTTCTAGTTAACTCTGCCTTCCCAGAACCAAACAAAGAGAATCAGCATTTAGTTCATATGTTCCATCTATCTGGAACAAACTTACAATCTCCCAGAAAACTCCTAGGAAACTGAAGAAAAAAAAACATATTGAGTTTCTGATATTTAACTATTATGATAAAAAAGCTGATTAATTTCAGATTTTAGTCCAACTTTTCTATTACTTTTCTGCTTTTTAGACTTGCACTGTCTTACCTCGTCTTTTAACTGTAACATAAACCCCAATAAACCTGAAAAAAACATTTTAATATTAAATAAAGATGTTTTTCACATGCTTAAGGTAAATCTTTTTGTTCTTCCTTATATAGTTTCTCTGTTCCTGAGAAGACTGAGAATGGTTTAACTGTTAGAATTTGTCTTTTTACTAAGTTTTTGATTATTGTAGATTATTTATGTGTCAATGACAATTTGTTTTATAGGAGTATGCTATGAATAATAGCTGACACAATATGTTGACTGTTTAAAATCACAGGACCTCAGAGAACCTGGTATTAAATCTTACATGAAGAAATTATTTCACTGTCCTTTGTCCCCATTGGCCATAATCCAAATACCCAACTTTGCATTTTCTAATAACTTAATTTCAATATATATTAAAATCTTACTTTTTCTCAAAGTGAATTAGCTCTAATGTACTTTTATAGGATAAAATCTCAACCAGGAAGATAATTAAAGCTTAAAATCTAAAGAAATACTGACAGCCAGATGTTTTTAACACCATCTCCTGTTTAACAAATATGGAGCTTTGGTTAAAGATGAAACCATAAAGAGCTGACTTTTAATTACACATCTCAGCAAATTGGTAAGTTTCTAACCCGAGCCTAATCGCTCAGCTTCAGGATCCACCCGGACCATATGTTGCTGGGATGTTGCACGACCCCACAGGCTGCAAGTGGATTAACACCAACCCATACACACCAACACACCAAGGAGTGAGCAAGCCGACCTAACCCTAACTAATATGGCACGGCAACTGTCTCTAATTAGGTTAATTGAGGGAACCTGTGGGTGATAATAAACTTAGGTCTAAATGATGGAGATTGGGTGTGACATGATTTTGTGGCACAACCATCTGTCTCCTTAAAGCTCTTTTAATCTCCAGGGTAACAGGAGATACAGGAAAAAGAGCAAATAATTCATTTAAGGCATTCATCTGCTAATAAACTGCTTTTAGAATAAAACCTGGGGGAGATCTAACAAAATATTAACCTGCCCTCCAATTTTTCTC